GAGAAAATGAAGCCAGGGTTTTGCTACTTCCTGGTTGACATCTTGGATTTTTGGATCATTGTGTTCTTACCGCACATGCTCTTGTTCTCTCAGTAAATGCAGGTTAGAAACAATGCAGAACCAGAGATACCTGCAGAAAGGTGCACAGAGAGAAAACACAGCGATCACAAACTAGCAGCGGAGAGAGGACTCAAGATAACTGCATGCAATAGTGGCTTCTACAGTCTTCCTCAGATGTATTCAGACCCTCCCCATTAAAGAAGGGGGAAAAAAAACAGCTGAAATAAGTTGAAATTGACAAAAGTAATAATAAATTTTTAAAAAATTAAAATCATGACATTGCTTTTGAATTGTGGTTCAACAGAAGTATTTAAAAATTAAATAAAAAACAAGCAAACAAGCGCGATGGGACCCGGAAAGTAATATTTGAGCAGCCAAGTGTTTTCTCTCAATCAGACTTCTGCACCTGTTGACAGGTGTGTGGATTTCACTGCTCATCAGCAAAGTGCTCTCACTTATCCGGGACAGTTCAGTTATTCTTATTTTTTTAAATTATTCTTCTCAACCACAATTCAAAAGCAATGTCTGATTTCACTAAATTAGAATTTAGCAAATTTTTATTTATTATTACTTTTTTTTTTTAGTTTCGAATTATTTGCGTGACTATTGTGAATTTAGTCTTTTCTTTAATGGAAGGGTAGGAATACATTTAAGGACGACTGTGGAGGTTTTCCCAGCAGCCTGGGCCCACAGTATCATACTTAGAGGGTAGAGTCATCCCTAATTGTAAGCTTTAGATCTTGAGCTGGTTCCGCAGAAGAGAGCAGCCTTTGATCTCCCACATGTGAGGCTGCACTGAGAACAAAGCACTCTGTTGTGCGGCCTTTAAGATATGAGTACTTGAAATGTAGTTGAGTAGAGGTAGCAAACAATAGCTCATTTCGAGGTGTTGATTAGCACGAAGCCTAACACGGAAATTTAAAAAAAAAAAGCAGCCTACAAATAAGTGAATGTCTTAATAATACAATTTTAAGAACGAACAAACTCGCCCTATATCTTTAAAATGCGGTTATAAATGCTTACTGGGTCATAATAGTTTAAAAGTAGAACTGAAAGTCTCACCCCGTCAGTAAACAGGCCTTTCAGACACACACACACTTCCAACGGCCAGGTTGAACATTAACAAGCAGCGCCTTGATAGCGCTATCAGTGGATCAGACCAACTGCGTGGGGAAGTACCACGCGTTGTCCTCTGCTCAAATTCCTACCTGAGAAAACGAAAGTGTGGACAAAGTATTTTACGGGTTTGTTCTAACCAACCACCGCCTGGTTTTTTGTTCTTTTTGTACTGAAACTATTACACAATCGAATAAGGAAATATTACAAAAATAATTTACCCCCGCCTCCGTGTGTCGAAACCTGACTCCGAGCGCTCACCTGTTAGTCTGTGCAGCGTTCAGGTACACACAGGAGGACGAAGACACAAAATGGAGTTAACGCCACTGCCCGGCTGAGGAAAAGTACACTTGCGCTCATTATTATGCTTTTTGCTCGCCTGTTTGATTAATTATTAAAACTTCAGTCGACCGAGACGCCGAGGAAAGAGAATTAAAAATGTTTTGGACGTTAATCGTCGCCGCTTTAATGGCGACAGGTAAGTTGGCCTAGTTTTTTTTTTCTTTTTTCCTTCCACCAAAACAGGGTGGGCCCTCTTCCGTGAAACTCCGTTGAGGCTTGGACGCATTTATTTCGCATGTTTTATTTGTAGTTATTGTTTTGGGCCTTTCGTTATTCCTGCAATAAATTATTTCGAAAGAACGAAATTATGTTTAAATTATGAAAGTAGTTTTTGTTTTTTAAGCAGAGTGTCTTTTAACTAAAACCTTTGAGCAGAAGCCGTTCCATTTTTTTTTTTTTTAGAACAAAAAAGAAACGAAAAACTAAATCTGGAATGGTAGTTTACAATAAATCTGGATATAGTTATTGGGAAATGAAATGTGTATTTCTATGTCAGAAAAAAATGCAAAGAAAATAGGCGATTATCCGCTGGTAAATAAAGATATATATATATATATATATAATATGATATTCAAAGCAGACATTGTATGTAATTCAGCGTTATTTATTTTTTAGTTTAGACAATGATTATATTTTTTTTTTTTTTAAAGCTAATTCTACAAACAAACTGTCCTTCTAGGTGGGGAAATACAGCCAGGAAATGTTGATACTAATTAGGCCATCTGGAAAACACACATCTCCTTTTTTTTTTTTTTTTTAATTTGCTTTGTGTTGTGAATTTACATTTAATCAGACTACCTACAGGGGAACTGGATGAGAGGAAGTGAGTCACATCAGACGCTGGCAGGGTTGAAATGTTTGACAGAGAAATGATTCCACTTCAGCAGACAAACTGCACCACGGCTGTCATAATTTAGTAAACTAGGGTTGAAGAACACATGTTGCAGAAATAATGGAGAGCTTCTGTGGTTCCAGCTGACTTATTTAGGTTACTTTACACTGGTTTACTTTCTTTATGGCAGGAAATATAGCTGCTATAACGTCTGCAAACAAAAAAATGCACACCATTGCATTGCTATAAGAAAGATCTGAATGGCTGCTTTAATGATAATGTTTTATTTGTGAGCTTTTTTAATCATCAAATGTCCTCCTTTTTTTTTTCTTTCTTTTCTTTAATGTTTGTCGGTAGACTTAATGCTGATTATGCTCTACTGAAACCACACACACACATTTCCCGCTTCTGTATTTTATGGCTTGATAAGAGCCCTAGTTAGCAGTAAATGGACAAGCTGCTGGGTACAAGGAAGGAATGAATCAGAGCAGATACTGTCACTGCTGCGAACTGGTGTCCAAAACCACATGTTTGACAGGAAGTGTTTTTCTGTAAAATGTCCAAAAATGTCAAATCTTGCCTGTGCAACCAAAACTGTGTTTAGTTTAGTCCCGTGTTCTCGGAGCACATCTGTCATGATCTATGTAGTAATGGTCTCGCTGAAGTGACTCAACCAGGTGACTCATCACACCTAGTCTCAGTGATACCGGCGGTGAAGAAATATTGTTTACCACGCCTTAGGGGGGTTGTAGACTAATGCGAAATCTTGACGTTACAAAATGTGAGGAACATTTAACAATAAACCATCACCACTCAGGCTAATCTATATAACTCTTCCCTGTTTTTAATTATGTCTTTTCCAGAGTCCGCTATGGGCATTTCGGTCCAGTGTCCTACCAAGAGGTACATTGTCATCCTCTTCCAGCCTGTCACTCTCACCTGTAACTACCAGACAACTGCTAGCCAGCCTCCCGTTGTCACATGGAGGTACAAGTCATACTGCCGGGACCCGATCCAGGCCGCGCTCAATCCCAGCAGTGCAGAGAACATCCTCTCTCAAAACAACCCGAACTACGATCCCAACATCGAGTGTGCCGACAGCCAAAGGACAGTACGCATCGTGGCCTCCAAGCAGGCCAATGCGGTCACCCTCGGCGCAGAATACCAGGGGCGCAAGATCAGCATCCTGAACAGTGAGTTGATTAAATCTTGCACTTTGAAATCCCGTTGGGATGTCAAGAGCTGACTGAATGGACAGATGAAACAACATTTAAACATGGGAAAGTGTAAAGATGTCAAAAGCAAGCTTATATTTTACACAGACTTTTGAGCAGAAATCCAGAATGACTGCATTTTACTCCATGTTCTTTGCACTTGAGTCAGTCAAGGCCTATTCCTGCTTAGGATAACATAAATGTATTCTTAATGCTGTCCTTAATGTTATTTAAAGCTAGAACTGTAGCCACACTATTAAAGCAAATTAGACGAAAGCTGTACTGTCAGTTTGGGACTGTTCATCGATGCTGAGCAGAAATCATTGGATATGTGTGTGTATGCATAAAAATTGCATATATACGTACACAGACACATAGTGCTTAACAAACTTATTAGACCAACTGTCAAACATGTTCAAGATGGCGGTGCGCATAGGTGCAGCGGCTCACGGCTCTCCTTTTCTATTCATGCTGTACATATAACTTATACTGTATATATAACTTATTTTATATTTAAATCTCTTCTATTTCTTATTTTTTGCTCTTTATTTTGTTCTTTATTCTATATTACACTGAAGGAGCTGCTCTTAATCTCATTGTACATGTGTATAGTGACAGTAAAGGCATTCTATTCTATTCTATTCTATTCTATTCTATTAAGCACTGTATATATATATATATATATAAATAGATCATGAAGTGCTTTAATGTGCACTCAGCTCTCCATGTTTTACCACTTTGAACAGGAATGAGGAATTTCAAACTGAATTTTTATTCCCAAACTTGAGCCACTGGGCTTCTCTGAGAAGTCAGAATCAATCAAGCAAAATGTTCAACCACTAAAACTCTTATTTCTGTTTAGGAATGCAAGTAAATATCTATAATTTGACTTCTTAATCAAAAAATAATGATGTGCTTTACTATTTTTGCAGGGTTTTTTTTTGTGATATAGTAAATTTAAAAAAATCATGGGTAACAATAATGATTATATTTTAACTATTAGCCATTACAGAAACATAAAAAAAAAAGATTTTGCTAATTGCCAGTGCTGTTAATTCAGGGCAGCTGTGGCTTAAACGTTACATTGGATGGTGGTGTGTATATATATATATATATTTGCTATTTCTGTGCCCACTTTATTACGACTGTGAAAATCACTTTAGCTCCTCATCATGTATGCATTATTACATACGTATGTGGTATTAGAGTGTCACACAAAAGAGATTGACATGATAATACAGAGTTTTTGGACGTGTGGTGTAGCTACATAAAAGAAAGTTTCACATCACGGTCTTAGACAATGACTGTGCCCAGGAAGGAGTTTTCTGCTCAGCGTCAAAGTTGGAGGCCCAACAAGCTGAAGCCTTAAAAATGAGCAACCAAATAAAAGTATCACGACAACGGACAGCAGACACGTCAGAGAACTGTTGATTTGTTAAAACCGCTACTTGTTCATTTAGGGCATCGACAGAGGACAACATCCCTCTCCTCGGGTTTCGGCTCTGCCGAGTACTCTGCCACTATGAGTCATTGTGATGACAGCTGTTTCTTGTTCTATCTTCTCCGGTTCATCACTCCCACTCGTTTTGAAGTGAAAACAATTGTGAGAACATTGTCTCCAGACCAGATGTATTTGTGGATCATCAGTTTTTGTAAAAGTGTTTTCACAGTCATTTTAAACAGATCAAGTTAAAAAAAAATGTTTATTTCTAGGAAATAACTAAAGTTTTACAATTACTTTTTTAAAAATATACATTAACTCAGAAAGGTACTTAGTTTAAAATAACATTCATCAGTATATCAACACTACTAGGATCTGTCAGTCATTTCTCAAACATAACGAAGAGCTGAGAGTAACTTCTAAGCCAGAAGTCTTTTCTTTAGGACCACGACACACTGATGCCAACATTTTTCACAAATATGTTGCTTGTAAGAGATGTTAAAACACTGCAACTTAACAAGGACTGTTACAAGACGCCACCATCATATCGTAGTAATAACAGTAAATTATAATAATAACTGTTAAATTGTTACTCACAGATGCCGACCTGAACATCGCGCAGACCGCATGGGGAGACAGCGGCGTCTACGTATGTTCTGTGATCTCTTCCCAAGATCTTTCAGGAAACGGCGAAGACTACACAGAGCTAATTGTACTTGGTGAGTTTCCTTCAGAGCTAGTCAGGTTCTTGCAAAGGAATTTGCTTCTTTTCTCTTTAATGCCACCCACTGTTTTTTCCCTCCCCGACTCTGCTGCACCCTTCTAGACACACTGAAATATTTGAGAGCAAAACCGTTTTGACTTGGAAGCTTTTGCAAGTGGGCGCTTTAGTCTGGGGACAGATTTACAGTCAGGGGGCCATGAGCTGGCTTCTCAAGAACTGTTTCGTGTAGTCGTAGAGTCATAAATTGCAGGCAGTAAAAAATAGTCCCCGAAAAGTAATTGTTACTTTATCTTTCTTTCACAGAGAGAAAGTCAAATACTACTGACCTCCTGCCTGGCATTGACTTACTGGTTATGGAAGGTAGTACAAGCTATTTGACGCAGCTCAGTCATGTTTCAGTCCTACTGTACGGGCATCTGAGGGTGTGTCAGGTTTAGCTGTGAAGGAAATGGGACGTTTACGACACATTGCCCAAGCTGCATTGCTAGATGCCACTCAGTTTGTTTGGCTTTAACGGATTCAATTTGGACATTCTTGGTCCTAATGTGAATGCGCCAAAGGTATGATTCATTTTTTGAGAACAAGCCCTTGCATTTAAGCTACAAACATCCTGTTGTGGTGGGAAATAAATGTAATAGGACCCTGCACTCTTCTGCTTTTCGTTCCACTTCTGTTACATCCTTAAAAAACACACTCTCCTGTCAGCTGCTTCTGTTTCTCTCACCTTTTTCATGTCACTGAGGGCCGATGTTTGACTTTCAGGAGTGAGAGTAGATTGTCTGTATCTGCTGAGAGGCAACAAAAGGGCATTCAGCGCGCATTTTCTTTTATCTGTGTACACAAGCCTAATAATGTTTTTACTCAGTGCTTTGCCGTTCCGCTCTAGTGTTCCCCCCTCTCTCTCTCTTTGTGGCATGTGCTGCCTGAACTGACTTGCACAGTGAAATTATGCCTTGGGTGTACGGATGAGCCGGCTTTTCCGGTTTGACAAAAAAAAAAAAAATTACCACTGTAGTCAGTGTGTTTCGTTGACGTGATCACTGCGTAAGAAAAACTAAATTCAAGGCTTATCGCGTGTGACTGACCGTGTCAGCCCGCAAACTTCTGCTGCTTTCTTTTTGACTGTCACGGATATTTCGCTCCCCAGAGACTTTCTGTTCAAATTAACTTTCATTTCTGTGCCTTTCTGCTCCAGTGATTTTACTACACAAAGCAAATCTGTAGCTCAGGCCACTTGATGATGACACATGGAGTGTTTGACCATTTATAGTTTTTTTTTCTAGACTTATGTCCAGTGGTGGCTGGTGAAAAGTTTTGGTGGGAGGGCGCAGTCTGCAAATGACCTTTTATTTTAAATCAGAAATTAGAATATGAGTAACATCAGGCACAGCCATTTACAGGAATGCAAATTGTCTACCTTTGGAGGATATTCTAATCATAATGTAATTTAACGTTTCAAAATCATTCATCAAACTTTCATCAATATTTACAGGATCTATACAAACTCAAAACACACAACAGAAATAATTTTTAAAAAAAGAAAATATTATTCAGGGCTCCAGACTGACTCTTTCACTGGAAGCACCAGTACGACCCACTTTCTCATTTTGTCCCACCTCCCACCTGGTCAAAGGTAAAACATATGAGTTGCTGAACATTCTCTTATAGATCAACGATTTACTGATGTTCCCTAAACGCCTCACACAGCAGGCTGTGCTGCTGTGGTGTGCTCTGACCAAAAATGACTTTAAAAATAACAAACTAGGGCGTTCTCGTGTCAGATTTGTCCGAGGTTAACCCCAGCTACACGAATTCTACCCGCGCTCTTTTCTACGAGCAGCCTTTTCTCCGCTGACAGCACGGCCGACGCATTAAGCCGTCACGACAGTAGCTGTGATCTAGTAGCGGAGGAGGGGAAAGGCCGTGTGAGGGTGTCAGAAAGCGCAGTCATAAGGACAGGTTTGATATCCAACCACAGAAGACAAAAGCCAATAAAGACAAAATTAAGTGGCTTGCAGTGAAAGTGAGAGGGTCTGGGAGGCACCGAGCTGCGTCCCGGGAGAAAGTCTGCAGCTGCCAATCAGAGCCCGGGCCGAGGTCACATGATCACGCAAAGTTTTTCGAGCTACATACACACTCATGTGACCGCCGCCCCGCAACCAGGAAGTGTAAAACACACAGTAAAGACTTGTACTAGATCTGTTATTAATACAAATATTGTTAATATATCAAAAGAATATGAATGTTTTTATTAATTTTAATATTATTTTGTTATAATTAATTAAAATGTAATTTGACGTTTGAGAACTACTTTTTATGTGGACATTAGTGGTGGGAGGGCCGCGCCCCTGCACCCTGTGTTAACCAGCCGCCACTGCTTGT